TTTTAAAAATTGTTCATTAAAATTCAAAATAATTTTCAATTTATTTTGTTAAGTCGCAACAATTAACATATTAGCTGTAGTGTTTCTGCCATTAAATAACGTTCCCATTATTTTTCTAATTTTAGCAATGGTTCCGGAAATAGTAAAAAATTTTTAATTCTGCCTGATATTTAGAAAAACGGTATACAAAAAGTGTACACTGTTTCATAAAAAGTTTACAGTTTTTTAATGGTGTCAAGGACTGTAATATCGGGCAGAAGAGTTTATGTACTAGTGTTGTTTTTTATTTTAAATTTCATGTTCTTTATATATAAATAGTTTATTTTTTTTAAAATATTGTTTACTTAATTTTTAAATTGTCTATAAAATTTATTCCATTATCATAAATAATAGTATAATAAAGCGCAAGTACATGTGTTTACATAATCGTATTTATTAGTGTTTTTTTCGATTTATAGATTGACTGTTCCGATGCTGTTTATTCTAGCAGTTGCCATTATTCTTCCCGTTGCCGGCGATGGACCTCATTGGCATCATATCGTTCGACAAGGAAAGTTTTACGAAAGAAATTGGTGGAAATTTGCTCTTCACATTCACAATTTAATCGATATGGACACGAAATTTCAAGTATATTACTCTTTTAGCTACTTTTATAATGATAATTTTTTAGTAGAATTTAGTTTCAGGCGTGATTAAATTCTTATGCATATAATACTTATATTTATGTACTTTATGTGTATACATAACCATGTATGTTAATATTGTGTAGTCTATATTATTGTTCTTTACAGTATACCTAAAATAATATCCAGTATTGTGCACTCAATACAGGCAGTAATATCTGGAATGGTGTCCATTCGACAATCGTATGCGGTGTTCGATTATAGTGGTTTAATGTTCAGAGACGATTTTCACTTTTGTCCAAGTGCAGAAGACCATTGTATCCATATAAAGAGGCAGTGCGGTCATCACTTCAATCTAGCTGTGATAGTCAATAGTCGAGTGGCACTGCCATCTCATCCGGAATTACATTCATGGCAGCCATCTCTTATGCCCAATGCCTCTGCAAGTACTGTACTCTGACGCCACGTCAGTATAACCATCTGTAGCCAATTTTACTGCTTATTATTTCATATCTTTCAGGGCATAGATTGCCAATCTTAGATACGCGTGCTCGATGACATATCGAGAAAAATTATCTGGCACGTAGGATGGTACTATTACGATTTTTAAAGATAATTCTGCTCACTATACGGCACAGGACTCAAAAGGCTCTGTATCCCTGTTGTCGGACTATTTACCAGTATGATAATTCCAGATTTCACACAGCAAGAATCTTTGAAAAATGTGTGTTAGGTTCATATCCTTCCATAACCACCATCCTGTACATAACATTTTCTCAGTTGCAGAGCCTTTGTTTTATCATTGACTATTCGTATTTTCTTTCAAGATTGTATGAAAGTCAGTTTATACGAAGACATGAACAACATTTACTGTAAAACTTTTTGTACACGTCATTAAATATAGCCCCTATTAGTTTGCTTTTCTATTTAAAAATTCAAATAATACATTTTAGCATAATTGGCATAAACTTAAACATGATGATGAACACGAGGAAACTTTTCAACAGCTCTACAATATTTTGTGCATTGTTTGAAATACAGCTAACATTTCTTGTTTTACTAAATATGCATAAATTTATTATTTAAATCAGTTTAGTTTAAATATTTTGATCTTTAAAAATGTACTGTACTTTTTATCTGTGAACATAGAATTATCTTTTATGAAGTGCATTCGGTTTTTTCTCCTTTCAGTTATTGTTTATAATAAAACTTATTCTACTAGTACATTTATTTTTCGTATTATTAAATTAAAGTTGGTTTAAAAATTCGTCTTATGCCCACATTCGTTTCTAGTTTACAGTCGAATTTAGGAATAAAATACATCTCCAAACCATCTTTAATTGAATAATTAATTATAATCGTGTTATAAATTAAAATAAAGTAAGAATAATTCAGTTTTATTACACGTAAAATTATCGTCTTTTAAAAGTAAATAAACATATATCTGTAAAAAGTAATGAATAAATTAGTCATCTTATATCGAAATTGCATTAAATAAAGTAAACTGTTATTAAAACGAAAGCGAAAGTGAAGCAAGATTGCGCAGAAAGCAGGTAATATGGCACACTCTACAAAGATCACAGCGAAAGTGACATTTTTCAATGTTGAATTCAGCCTTCTGTTGATAGACTTATTTCACGTTTACTAAATGCAGGGAATAACGTGTGTGAAAATTTGAATAGTTTAGAATAAAATATTCAAGATATTATAGAAAATATTTTAAAATTAAATAATATAATAATTCGAAATTTTTATCAAGGCAAAAAAATCAAGGAGAACAGGGAACAAATGTTTCCTGTGTTGAGTCAGTTCCTGGGAGAGATTGTTACCTCCCATGACTAAAAGGGCTGGAAGAGGTCTGGAGAAATTGAAAAAAAAAAAAACAAATAAGCTATACGCGCTAAACTCAGGGCACTTCAGCTTTTCAGCGCCTCAGCATGTCTTTGTTTAACTAAGTGCCATACAAGTAACTTCCGCCCGAGATTATGAATCGCATAAGGCAAATTATCACAGAGGTAATATAATATCGTTTGTAAACTCTCTCTCATCTCTCATATTAAGAATTATTATAGTGTTAACGCTCTTCAGTTCAGATGCAATATCTAGTTATTTTATTTCGTATTTTATTGTATTTATCCATTTAATATTGTTTTTATTAAATCTTTTTTATTGTTTTAACATGGTCTCATTCATGACTCGAATCCGAGTAAACTGCCTTTCCACTTACTCGCAACTCTCCCACTCGAAATTCCACCCGAACGATTGTTAGCATGCCTAACGCTAAACTAGGCTTGTGTCAGGAAAAAGCAACTTACGGGGATCTTCTCAGACCCCTATTTCTTATTAAAGTCTTAGGAAGTCATCCTTTGACTCTGCGGGCTTATGTCTCTAACAGGTTGCCGATTAAGTGGTATTGAGTACGTTCCTGACTCAGTACCCCTGGCTAGCCCCTCACACATGTCTTGATTTATTGGTTGAAGATGGATGCATTGGCAAAGGTTGTTTTACCTCTTAACTTAGTTTCGCACTTTTTTTAATAGCATAAATTACATTTTTACGTATAAACTTTATAAAAATTCAGATTGATATCTACATAGAAATTTTTGCATTTAAGTTTTGTTTTAACGTTCTTAAGTAAAACTGAAATATGAATAACTAACATTAGTCATGTTTTATTTAACGAGATATTTGGTAATATATTTTTTAACAATTCATAAACAATGTTTATACGAAGCAATCAGAGAAGGCAATTGCAAAACAAGATTTTTCATTATGCATGTTTAATTTGTTATTTTAAAGAGTTTTTCTAACATACTGTATTTGCTAATTTATAAAATTAATGTCCAAGTTTTTAAACTGTACTTTAAAATTTTCGAATTTAGTGATGCGTTTTGTTTGCCATTAAAATGATACTTATTACAGCACTCGTACATAAATATTCATATTCTTCGTGAATAAAGAATTGGTCACATAATAAGATAGATGAGTTATGAAAGTCTGTGCATATCGTTCCATTTCAGCATGTTATATGTTTTCTTTTATTATCTATATATAAGGAAAATAATTCAATATTTTACTATATTATATACTGTGTTTATTTATATACAGGGTGAGTTTTTTTTTATCTTGAGACAATGAAAGAACTTAATTGGATCTCATTATTCTGGAAAAGTTTAGACAAAAGTTATAGGGTTTTGAAAGGGCAATCAATTGATAATTTTGGATGTGACCTTGACCTTCAAGATTATTTTAAGGTTAAAATCAAAAGCTTTTTCTAATAGAAAAGCATACTTTTTACTACTAGAATAAACCGGGAGGTAAAATTTACATTTACATGCAAAGAGCAGGAAATTTCACAATCAGCCATGACCCAATTTGACCTCTGAAGGTCATCTCAAGCTCGATAATTTAAGCGCGGCTCAACAAATGCTTCGAAGTGGAAGGACATTATTTTGAACATTTGTTATAAAATTTTCCCCCAAAACCAATATCTCAAGCAATGATGAAAAGTAAAGTGACTCACCGTAAACAAGCATCCCGATAGTGAGAGGCAAGGGGACTCACTGAAAATAAGCATATCAAAGGGTGCAGAAAGCTATTATGTCCACATCGCTACTCCTGGGTAGAGCTAAAAGTAGTGAAAACTTTTAAAGGTCTAAGTAAGAAGATCGTGAAAAAATGTAAATTTTACCTCCCTGCAATGGCGTAGCTGGAGGGGGCGGCGGAGGCGGCCCATACCGGGTGTCACCCCTAAACGGGTGACACCCGACCATAAAAAAATAAAAACTTAAACAAACCATCACAATGTTTTTCAATAAATGTTTGATAAATCACTTAGGCTTGAAGCCATTTTAACCAAGTTATCTATATTAAATAATTTAATTTTACAGTATCTCTTCCGAATTTTATGGTCGCAATAAAGTTATTTTTGACAATTTGCATATCAGTTGCTTCGTGTGAGAGGCGTTTCAGCAAAGTAAAATTAATTAAAAATTAATTGCACGCAACATAACCCAAATGAGACTTAAAAGTCTTGGCATATTAACAATAGAACACGAGTCAACACAAAATATAAATTTTTACGATATTATTTCCGAGTTTGCAGCTGTTACAGCTAGAAAGAAGAGCTTGGAAGTGTTTGTACAGTACATAATACAGTAGAGCGTAGATTATCCGAAAGTCAATTATCCGAAAGAATTCCAGTCGGCAAATTTAAATTTTCGCCAGTGCTGTGGCGCTGCAATCTTTGGNTATTTAAAATATATTTAACAAATTTTAAAATTAAATATATTTGAATAATGTATTTTTAATTACAGGAAAATATCTTGAATTCGTCCTGGCTGCCTCGCCTTACAAAGCTTCGTGTGAAATATTTTCTGAAAATATTCCAGATAATCTAAGATGGATCTGCGGTCTGAAATTTTTTATTTTGTGTTCAGTTGTTTTTGATCACAGTGTAATGTTTACATTATCTACTCCAACTGTAGCAGGTAATTTCTTACAATTTTTAATAATGTGATTGATAGTGTGAAATTAAATAACCATTTTGGCATAAATTCCGGCAAGCAGGAATATTATCATTACTTGTAACTAAATAGTTTCTGTCAAGCATAAAGGGGAGCTATATTGTTAGTACCCGGCCTTCTGTCCTAGCCATATTTCATCCAGATTTTATCAGTACCCTAAACGGAACATCTTAATAAATTTGAATGTTTAAATGAGAGTTTAGTTCCTCTTCTTGTTATTCGTTAAGATTAGGATAGAGAAAACATTATAAGGAGACTATACAAAATACATCTTGATGCTTGATAAATGGCGCGAATAATTATTATTTACTTTTATTTTCTGTAAAACATTAAGTAATTTACAATAATGTATTACTTCTTCATTTATTGTTCGTAATATTTCTGAAATAATCTTCAACAAATATAGTATAATACCCAAACCTCAAATAAATGCATGATTTAATGTTAATTCCAGAGTAGGATATAAATTTGATAGAAAAATAGCAGTTAATTTTTCTCGAAGATGGTAGATTTTTTTTATTCAATAATTATAATTATTTACTAATTCTTAAATTACTGTTAATTGCTATTATTTTGAAACATTTATATATAATTAGAATAAAAGTAATGCATTCAAAAACTCACTATGTATTTTAATATAGTGAATTTTTGAATGCATTACTTTTATTCTAATTATATAGAAAATTAAATACCTATATAGGCCTACTAATAAAATTAAATTTTACAGGACAATATAACAATATACCAGCATTATACGAAAAAATCTACAACAGTTTTTTTAGCCAATCACTCACTCATTTAGAAACATTTTTGTTTGTGAGGTAAGCTAAACTTTTTAATTATTAAACTTCTACTGGTTCAAATGATTTTGAAGGGTATAAGCAATATTAAAGTTATTTACACGAAAACAAAATGACAAATTTAATTATTTTAAGAAGAGGAATTTGTTTTGTAAACCGTTTAAAAAAGTCTTTAAATCATTTAAACAGAAGGAAAATATTGGTTGAATTTCTGGAAAAAACTGAGGATAACTACTACAACTATATCTAATAAATAACTTTTCTTAGCTCCAAAAGAAATAGAAGGAAATAGTACAGTATATTTTGATATACCTATCCGAAATCTGTGTATTAAGACTAAGACTAAGACTAAGACAATAAAATTATTAGACTTTGGTGCATTGTCTGTCGCCAGCACAAACTCCATCCTTTTAAGGATTTCCATTACATGTTGGGATGTTACAGCTGAAAACTGTTTTCCATTCCTCTATGATAACAGTAGGGACATCAGCGATTGAAATTTAACAAATTAGTCTGGCTTGCAATGAGCGAATGCATCATTAATTTAGACTAAGACTTCATAAATCTACTGTTTTTTTTCTATATTTATCTCATTAAACCATTCTTTTATAAACCTTTCTTTTAGACAGGAATATTGTCTAACAGAAAAATGCTTACTTCAAACTGTGTTTACAAAATTGTCTCTAATGCCTGTAGCGATCTGTAGACCAAACAACTATAGATTGATTTCACTACAACAATAAATAGCAAAGTTATTTAAATACAGTAAATAAGATAGGGATATCTATATATTGTTGCTAACGTATCATATGAATGCATTGAAAACGATTCACATGACAGAATTTCATATAAATTTTTAAAATATTTAATTTATAAGAATTTTCCTTATTTATTGAAGTTACTATTCCTAAAAATTTTAATGTTTTACAAATAATTGATAATAAAAGCAATATTCTAATGGGAAATCTTACCTAAATCATTGTTACGTGAAAGAAAATTTTGTTAAGATTTAAATAAAATAAATACGAGAATATTCGTATTATTATATCGCATGTAAAATTTACCGGTTGTTCTGTTTGTGAATAGTAAAATAATTTATTAAATCATTGTCAGAAGTTGTATACTACAGCAGGGTTGTCCAACCTTTTTTCCTAACATGCCTAATTAGAGATGTACGAATATTCAGCAAACCACAAAAGTACTTTATATAAATATATGCTTTAAAAAGGTCAAATTGTGAATATCAAATTTTAATAACAAATATATAATCACGTAAAATACTGTATTATTGGCAGTAAACAAATTATACTCACAGAAAATAAAAATAAATTTAATGCGATTTTTGACATTGCCTTCCTTTTATAAAATTGTCAATATTTGCATTTATGGTTCTAGTCATAATTCTAGGAATGTTAGTTAAATGGGAATCATTCAACCTACTGTATTTATTTCAGCGGTTGTCGTTTTTCATGCACGAAAAGAATTGTTCACAACAGTATGTTTTCATGTGGGGTAATATAGTTTTCTAGCATCAATTACTCCCTTACAGCGTCAAAGTGTATCCAGTGAAAAGAGAATGATTTTTACAACATTATTTACCAAACTAAATGAAAATGTATTTAAAAATTTTAGGGTGCAGTGGGCCGCATAAAGTACATCCCACGGGCTGCGGGTTGAACATCCCTGTACTAGAGGATAGTAATGCAAGACTTGTGTCAGATGGGCCTTGTTGTTTATGTAGAATCTTGTACCACATGCTTCACAATATACAAATTTATCTTTGCACAAATGAAAATAATACAAAATCTAAAAGTTTACATATCAATTTTTGTATATAATGAAAAACAATCTACACAACAGAAACTAGAATAAATATTAATAAATTTAATAAAAACAAAAGAACTTTTAGTTTTCGAAAATGTCTGTAATTTATTGATTTATTTAGTGACGTAATTCACTTCCCAACTTGGTTTTATCAGACGAAAGTTTATAAATAAATAATAGCAAAAACAATTGAAAGACTGAGCGTAACAGTGGTTTAGGCAATTCGATGTCGAAATCAAGTTAACAGAAACAATACAAGTATTAGAGCAAAATAAAAAACCTATGATACAAGTACTGTACATCAAATTTACAGTAAAATATCTTAGTGTGGAAAAATAAGGCTTAGACTATTGTTGCGCTCGGCTTTTAACTATTGATATAATACATACAATTTATATACGTTAAAAGCGTTCAATTAAAAAACATTTAAAGCAAATAAATTTATGATTAAAGACTTCTCGATAAGATTTAAGTAATTTCAAAATAAAACCATTTAGTGGTATACCGTTTAAAAAAATCATTCATGTCATATATAACAATAAAATCAGATTTGAGGTCGAACGAATCCTTTAGAAGTTATACCTAAAAAACCTCATCTATTGACCTTTAATAAAAATTAAATTAAAGAATGTCTTTACTGAATATTTTTGTAAAACAATAAGAAACTGCAGAGAATTTCATTTTGATCTCCATTGACTCATATTCAAAACAGTCAAATATTTAAGTACAGTACAGACAACCCCCAAAACCAGTGTTCTGATTTAATCCTACAGAAATAATTTTGCTACAAAAGAATTTGCTTGTATTCCATTTTTTAATTTCACTTATTTTGTTAAATCCGTTTATTTCATAATTTCTCCTTAAACGAAATTTTGTTATGTGCAATTTGAAAAAATTGTAGACTTATAAATTTCCACTGTCGTCTAACTGTCTTTTGTAAATCTCGAAAAAAGATTTATAGAGGTTAATTAAAATTATAAAGTCGTAACCTGTACAAGTCTAACAGTTTAAAGGCTGATTTATCAAAATAGCATGCAAAAAATACAACTTTTCGATATATTATTATTATAGTAACAATCTTGTTTGAAATATATAAAAAAAAGTTACGTGTCTGTATACTTAACGAGCAATTATTTATGGACTGAAATTTTTAATCATATTTTTAATTTATTTATATTTAAAATACGATTTTCATTTGATGATTACATATAGTTAATCCAGGCTCGTTGCTCATACGTTGTCCAGAACTTGTCTCACCTTTCATCTATCTAACCGCTTTCTGGAGATTGAGGAATGGCAGACAGATGGACAGACATCAAACAATACAATACAATAAGGAAAGGGAAGAAGGCCGTACTCGTAGGTGTAACCTTTAAAAGGGGATGAAAGGAAGATACGAAGGGAGGGAATGAGAGAAAGATTTGTAGCAGGGGCCAAGAGGGTGAAAATGTTGAAGAGTGGAAAGGGAAGGGGAAGTTGTGTGACGCATGGGGAATTTATTAAAATAGAACAAGTTACAAAATATAAAATGCCGAATACAAAATACATAGATACATATTAATAACTGATGCTAAACATAAGATAGGCGGCAGGTAATGGAATACACCAAAAAGTAATTTGATTACATAATTGTTAATTAAAATACAGAAAAATACATACAGAGGTAGACTTAGACATATACAAGAGATTATGTACAATATGATATACGTTGTGGATACATTGAAACCAAAACACGATATAACTGCTCAGTAAAGAAGGAATATTAGTAGATGGATATAAACGGAATACAAATACAGCGCAAAACAGAAGTTAACAACATTGCAGATAACATAAGAGAACAGTATTAAATAGTAGACACACAAACACCAAACAATTGTGTAAAGAGCACCACTTTGAGTTGATAAGGAAACTGATGGAACCTAATCCAATATTTTAATGGTCTTTGTGAAGTCCCTAAGAGCTTTGAGAGTGTTTTTGTAACTAGTCAGTTCATCAAACAGAGGGAATTTAAAGGTCTGCAATTTGTTTTTTAAATTGTAGTCGAACAAAAACAATCTCGATAGATTTTTCTGTTAAATGATTGGACATTTGTTATTCATATTTTAAATACAAGTCATACAACATTTACCGTGAAATTCGCTCAGAATCGAGCACATATTATTTGGAATATCTCCCTATAAATGGAAATACGGACATGAAACAAGAACGCAACTCTTATGAGACATTTCTAGTTGTCCTACATCAGGGTATGTTTAACATTATATCTTATTCAAATATAATTGTGCAAACATGTATTATTAAACAAAATAAGTCTGGAGTAAATCATGCTGTGCATTGCTAAAATTATTCCATCGTGTATGTGACTATGAGTTTTATATCTTTAATATTATTTTATTTACAAATGTTAAATTAAATAATTTATCATACTTATTATATTTAACCAATTTATGTTTGCTTTCTTTGCTAGCGGATTTCTGACGTGCTACTTACGTAAGAAAAAGGGAAATCGTTCAAAAATGGAGTACATTCTCTTCGTTTTCAAGAGAATTATCAGGTTGATAAAATTTTTATTTGCTTTTCCATTGTTCAGTAAAAGTATAAATGAATAAATTCGTACTTTATAACAAAGTGATTCGATCATTTATACTGGGCGATTTTCAAATGTCTTCACTTATTTAAAATTATACAATTAGTTTATTGCACATAATAAAAAGCTTTAATTGCTTATTTTAAAACATTGAAATTACTAATATACTTTTCCTTACAATTTTCGCTTCTGCGCGGTATATAACAACAGTCAAATTTAAGCGGAATACTCTTTTTTTCATTATATTGATAATTTCTTCGCCAATTTAAATTCTAAAGTTGTGGCTTACGCAGATGATAAAAAATTATAAAATCATGATTCTTTCGCTCTACAATTGAACTTATATTAACTTATCACCAAATTTAATAAAGTCAATCTTACAGGAAACACAAAAACTGTTGTAATGTGCTTTTCCTTACTCCGTAACCATCCCCTTTATCACTCTAGTTTAGAGACCACGCTTTACAATATGTCAACTCTTTTAAAGATTTTGGTATAATCTATCATAATAAGAGGAATTTAAAAATTATAAAAATAAAGTGATAAAATCTTTTGCAATTCGCCGTAGAATTCTTTCGCATACACCTATATTGCGCTCAACTGTCTTTTCTAATTTTCAGTCATTAGTTAATTACTGTCTTGAAATATGATCTATGGATTGCTTAATCACTTACAAAATTTCGCAGAATATGAAACCAGTAGAACATTTACTGCATGAATGAAAGCAAATGTCAAAACTTAAAAGCAAATGTCAAAATATTTTATCAGTCTTGCATTAGAATGTTTCTAGTATTAATATAGCTCAATTAGTATGCAAAATCTGATTTTTTTTATTGTTTTAATATAATTATGTACACAAAATGTGTTCGATCTTTATAATAAGTAAAATATTATTTAATATATTTTTTTTGTAGTTTATTGTCTTCACTGTATTTCTATTACCAATTACGCATACATTTACAATTATGATACATTTACGCATCAAAGTATGCCATGTTTTTACATTAAGCTTTTATTTGTATTCTTTATGTTTTGGTTTCAATTGTACGTACTTCACTGTTTGGTCTGTTGTTAATTGTGGGGGTGGATATCATCTTGCATCTGGCAATTGTAATTGTGAATAAAAATTTTTTAAAAAATAATAAAAATATAGCGTTTTAAAATCTGTTTATTCAAATTCACAATAATTTTCAATTAATTCCGGTAAGTCGCAACAATTAGCATATTAGCAATAGTGTTTCCACTATTCAATAACGTTCCCATAATTCTTCTTAATTTTTGCAATGGTTCCGGGAATAGTAAAAAATTTTTAATTCTGTCTAATAATTTTGTAATTTAATATAATATTTAGAAAAATATTATACAAAAATTTTTGAAAAGTGTAAACTATTTCTTATTTCTTAAAAAGTTTGCAGTATTTTAGTAGTGTGAAGATATGGCAGAAGAGATTATCTACTTGTTTTTTGTTCTTTTATTATTTTAAATTTAATGTGCTTTATATATAAAAAATTGTATATATAAAATATTGTTTACTTACTTTTTAAATTGTCGATAAAATTGATTCAATCATCATAAATAATAGTATAATAAAGTGCAAGTACTGTACATGTGTTTACATAATCGTATTTATTAGTACTTTTTTCGATTTATAGATTGACTGTTCCGATGCTGTTTATTCTAGCAGTTGCCATTATTCTTCCCGTTGTCGGCGATGGACCTCATTGGCATCATATCGTTCGACAAGGAAAGTTTTTCGAAAGAAATTGGTGGAAATTTGCTCTTCACATTCACAATTTAATCGATATGGACATGAAATTTCAAGTATATTACTCTTTTAGCTACTGTTGTAACGATAATTTTTTAGTAGAATTTAGTTTCAGGCGTGATTACATTCTTATGCATATAATACTTATATTTATGTACTTTATGTGTATACATAACTATGTATGTTAATATTGTGTAGTCTATATTATTGTTGTTTATAGTATACCTAAAATAATATCCAGTATTGTGCACTCAATAGAGGCAGAAATATCTGGAATGGTGTCCATCCGACAATCATATGCGGTGTTCGATTACAGTGGTTTAGTGTTCAGAGACGAATTTCACTTCTGTCCGAGTGCAGAAGACCATTGTATCCATGTAAAGAGGCAGTGCGATCATCACTTCAATCTAGCTAATAGTCGATAGTCGAGTGGCACTGCCATCGCATCTGGAATTACAATTATGGCAACAATCTCCTATGCCATATGCCTGTGCAAGTACTCTGACACCACGTCAGTACGATGACAACCACCTGCAGCCATGTTTACTGCTTATTATGTTATTACGATCTACGACAGGCGTTGCCAACCTATGACACGCGTACCCGAAGTGACATATCGAGAAAATTTATCGAGCATGTAACGTAGCGTACGATTAGGGTTTTAAAAGATAATTATATTATACTCACTACATGGCACGCGGACTCAAACAGGGTTCGCCATCCTTGTTTTAGGACTATTTACCAGCATAATAATTCCAGATTTCTCAAGGCAAGAATCTTTGAAATATGTGTCTGATAGGTTCATACTCTTCCATAACCACCATCCAGATAGAACATAACACTTTTTTGTTATGCAAAGGCATTGTTTTATCATTGATTATTCGTATTTTCTTGCAAGATCGGTTGATGAAAATCAGTTTGTACGAAGACATAAACATTTTAAAACTTTTGTACACGTCATTAAATATAGCTACTGTTGGTTTGCTTTACTATACTAGTGTAAAATTCAAATAACTCATTTTAGCATAATTAGAATAATTTAAAATCTCTTATTAAACATGATGATGAACACGAGGAAACTTTTCAACAGCTCTACAATATTTTGTGCATTGTTTGTAATACAACTATCATTTCTTATTTGTTACTAAATTTGCATAAATTTATTATTCAAATCAGTTTAATTAAAAGATTTTGATCTATACAAATGTAATTTTTATCTGTGAGTATACAATTATCTTTTTTTAGTGCACTCAGTCCTTTTTCCTTTTAGTTATTGTTTACAATAAAATTTATTCTATCAGCACATTTATTTTTCGTATTATTCAATTAAAGGTGGTATGAGGATTCATTTTACGCCTTCATCCGTTTGTAGTTCACAGTCGAATTTAGGAATAAAATGTATCCCCGAACCGTTTTTAATTGATTAATTAATTAACCGTCGTGTTATAAATTAAAATAAAGTACAAATAATACCGTTTTATGAAACGTGAAATTATCATGTTTTTAAAGTAAATCAGAACACATGTTTATGAAAAAATAATGAATAAAATAGTCATCTTTTTTCGAAATTGCATTAAATAAAGTAAACTGTTATTAAAAGAAAGGCGAAAGTAGAGCATGATTGTGCAAAGAGAAGATAATATTGCACATTCTACAAAGATCAAAGCGGAAATGACATATTCCCTCTAAGCGGGTCCATTATTTAACGTTGAATCCAGTCTTCTGTTAGTAGATCTATTTCACGTTCACTACATATAGGGCATAAAAAATTTTTTGTTTATTGGTTGGAGATAGATGCATTAGTAAAGGTTGTTTTACTTCTTAACTTACTTTCGCACTTTTTTTAATAGCATAAATTACATTTTTACGTATAAACTTTATAAAAATTAAGATTGATATCTGCATAGAAATTTTGAATTTATAGCTTTTGCTGAATTTTAGATTCAAATTTTTGCATTAAAGTTTTGTTATAACGTTCTTAAATAGAATTGAAATATGAGTAACTAACATTAATGAAGTTTTATTTAACAAGATATTTGGTAATATATTTATAACAATACAATTATGAAAAATTTTGCACATCGTTCCATTTCAGCATGTTGTGTGTTTTCTTTTGTGTGTAAAAGGATATATGTATAAGGATAATAATTTTTGTGTGTGTGTGTGTGTGCACGTGTGTGTGATAAACATGTATATGGAAACATTTAATAATATATATAGAGGAAATCCTCGTTAGTTAGAGATTCAAGAGACGACATAATTGCGTGTTCGAATTATCGAGTTTTGAATTATCCGAGATTTGCATATATCTTCTATACAGTAAACCAAATGCCATGTAACTGATGTAATTTATTAAGCAAACGGAATACGACTACGTATAGAGTGCTATTTTCCTTAATTAATAATATAAATAAATTGCATTGCGTGCCAAATGAAAACTTTATGGGTCGCCAGATATGTTTCATAAATTGTAAAGCAGAATTTCTCGATATGCAGCCCAAATTATTTTAAAAGTGGCCCAAAAGTGTAGTAAGTAGTCCAAATGCAGTAGCCTAGAGTTTTACAAATATCCCAATCTTGCAATCTCGTATTTTACAATATAAGAGAGAAAAGCGTAAAGATGTCCATGGATAAGGTGTCACTTGAAAATGTGTTACTGTAAAAGCAAAACCATGTTGACCACAAGATTAAAAGATAACAATGCTTTTTGGTCTATTGTTATCCTGTAGTATGGAGACACTTTGATCTAAACGAACGAGTTAACGTACGCATATGACAGTTCGTACAGAATTTTCACGAGAATTTCCTTTATATACAAAATTAAAATATTTTTACTCTCTAAAATTATGTATTCAATACAGTATTAAAATTTTGTCGTAATTTATTGAAAATAATTATTAA